ACATTTTTTTGGGAATGTATTTTCTTATCTCTTTCTCTCCATCACAGTCACCATTTCTGAATGCCCCTCTATGTTTCTTTTGTACTTGCTTTCATCCTTTCAGATGGTACTATTTGGGATACACGTAAATGACAAATGACATTATCAACACAGAATGTGCTGTTTTCATTTGCTTTCCTGATCTAAGTTTTATTTTTGCCCTGAGCATGTTGGGCTCTCCCACGCAGTAACTGTCTCATGTAATGAACAACAACATGCCCTTCCAAGGAAGCTAACTACTGTCGGGACTGACCTGACAGCATTTGCCTTGCATGGTCACCAGCCTTGCACCTCAATGCCGTCGGTTTCAAGCAACCTGACTAAGCAGCTCACTGGGCATAGTAAGAAATGGATCAACGTGCTTGACCAAGGCACAGTACTTTTATCAGAGTGTTATGCACTTTAATTGCTGATTGCTACATTCTCACATAAATTTGGAGAAATTAGAACATAGAAATTTTAAGAGAAAATCATTAGACAATGTAGGTTCTAAGGAATATTGGTGATAATATACACATGAAAATATATGTGGTGAGATATCTATAGATCTTTCTATCTATAGATCTATAGATAGATACCTCACCACCAATATTGTTGTTTTTATGTATCAATATCAATATTAGTACGTGTATATATATATATGGTGTGTGTGTGCCTGTGTTTGTGTGTGTGTGTTTGTATATGCGTATACTTTATATTCTACAGCAGTTTTAGGTTCACAGAAGAATTGAGAAGAAAATGTCCCATATACTCCTTGTCCCCACCTTGATAGTCTTCCCTGCTATTTACATCCTGCTCCAGAGTGGTACATTTGTTACAGTCAGTGAGATGAGCTTACTTTGGCACATTGCCACTCAAAGTCCATAGTATACATGGAGTTTCACTCTGGGTGTTGAAAGTTCTGTGGATTTTGACAAACACGTAATGACATGTATCCACAATTATAATGTTATACGTCCATTTGGTTTTACTGTCCTAAAAATTCCCTGTGCTCTACGTCTTCATTCCTCCTTGCCCTACCTCCCATCCCATAACTCCTGGCAGATCTTTTTCCTGTCTCCATAATTTTGCCTTTTCTAGAGTGTCATATAGTCGAAATCAGACAGCATGTAGCCTTTTCAGATTGATTCTTTTCCTTAGCAACATGCATTTAAGGTAGTGCTGAGATTTTTCAGAGTATTAAAAAGAGAACCATGAATGTTGTTCTTATTTAGAGAATTAAAGGGATTGTATATTATGATCAGCTCCAATATATAAATGATAAATCAACTGCAAACTGCAACATAAGATACACTTTATGGTTGATTCCAACACACTTGAAATTTGTAATCCTCCTATAATAATTAGGTAAATCCATGGGTGAGACCCAAGAATAACTCTGTTAACATTAATGTTTTAGAAAAAACTTTTTAACAGTGGCCACACTTCTCTTTTCTTTTCTTTTTACCAAGACAAAGTTTTGCTCTTGTTGCCCAAGCTGGAGTTCAGTGGCACTCTCTCGGCTCACTGTGGGTTCAAGTGATTCTCTTGCCTCAGCTTCCTGAGTTGGTGGGATTACATGCTTGCACCACCAGGCCAGGCTAATTTTTGTATTTTCAGTAGAGACAGGGTTTCACCATGTTGGTCAGGCTGGTCTTGAACACCTGACCTCAGATGATCTGCCCACCTCGGCCTCCCAAAATGTTGGGATTACAGGCATGAGCCACACGCTTGGCCAGCCACACTTCCTAAAGCATGTATGTGGCAGAGTGCATCCAAGTGAAAAGATAACATCATCTAGGAGTATTAGTTTTATTTAATTACCTAAAGGAAACCACTTATATCAATAAAGTATGGATTTATAGTAGAACACAGAATTTTCATTAGGTTAAAACAAGAGACAAAAGAAATATGGAGTGAATGAAGGACTGCTGTTGGCTAAGAGACTACCTAGACTCTCCGTAGGAGTGCAAAGTCATGTTCTCCCTACATCAGAATTATATCATTAGAAAATTCGAGAAGCAATTCAGAGGAGACTTAATGAAAACTAGATTCATTCTGATGTTTGGATAGTGTTATAAGTCATGTTCCTGGGGAAGCTGACCTTAAGGGAGACTCCACATCAGAGATTTATTAGCAATTCTCTCAGGAACATCCCTGCAAAGGACGGGAAGAAACAACTGTGTATCGGGCGGGTGGCGAGTGGGGTTTAGTTGTGATACAGGTGCAAGAAGGGGCTCAGCCGATACCATGGGGAGCTCTGGAGCTGCACTGGTTCTTCATAAATGCCCTACATTGTGGCGTACGGCCTGGCCATTTTATCTCCAACTCACCAGTCCATGAATGAAAGCGCCTACAACAGTGAGTTCTCGATACTGTTCAATGAAAATAATTTTGGTATTTAATGCAAAGGCTACCCCCAAAAGGAGAAAATTTTACTTTTCCATATCCAATGTAAAAAAAAATATAAAGGAACACACCACACACACACACACACACACACACACACACACACCCCATTCTGAATAGAAACTGGGAAACATAAGGAGTCTGTGTTTGTTTTCAAATAGAGAATGTTACCTTCCTCATTTTTTTTTAAAGAAAAGGGTAATGCTTAATTAAGTCATAGATATTACTAAAGGATGGTTCTAGATTCTTGTTATTTGCAAAGAATTTGTTAAACCTTTTCAACCTTTGGTGAGCTCATAAAGATGAAAATTTCATGCATAAAATACTTTAGAAAACAATTAAGAATTTCCATCCTTCTTTAAGTATAAGATTAATCTAATGAAACGATTGCAGATAAACTATTTGACCATGGTTCAGTATCAGAAGAGCTGTATGTAAAAGTATGCAGATTTAAATCCAACTTACTTTCAAAGTTTGAGTTTAGAATTTGTGCATTGGAACATTGCAATATATGCTGCTGTGATCTCAGGCAGTTAGATTAGAACGTGATAGTAATGTCTCCCTCTCCTACTTAAACATACTGATTTCCATGAACATAGACTCCCTAAGCATGGCCCATGTATATCTTAGATACATGGCTTTGTTCATAGTGTCAGAATCTAAATACCTTCTAGATATATCTTCACTATTGGTTCACTGAGGAGGGAGAGGGACTTTCACATGTAATTTTGAAAATGCATTTGCTGTATCATCTTTACATGTAATGTAAATTATTCTCATACAACCCATACATATCAAGGTTTAAAATGTCAAGAAAAAAATAAACCATTTCCGAACTGGCCTCCACTACTACCTGGCACTGTATTTTTCCCTTATTATATTGATGAGTCCCTCATTAACTAGCACAGAGACGACACACAGTATAAGAACCCTCCAACTAATCACCAATTAGTGCAGTCCTATATATTCACATACATTCCCTCACCTTTAGAAACATGATAGTCAACACTCAACACTCAGCTTCTGCTTTAAGTTTGACTTAACGTGGACTCAAACCTTTGCTGCAGAAAAGTTTTCTGTAATAAAAGTTTATTACACTAGCATTCAGTATTTGGATATTTAAAATATGTGGGCTTCAGTGTCCTCATTTGTAAAATGAGTTGGTTGGGTTTCAAGCAGATTATCTTCAAGATTCCTAGTGTAACATCTTAGATTACACTGTGATTTTATCTGGCTCTAAACATGACAGCACATGGCCTTTGACCAGTAAGCAAGATTCAAGGACAGAGTGCAGTGTGACAAAACCATAGCAGATCTCTACTTCTGTGGCCCAGCCCTGCCCAGGGTCTCAAGAGCCAGATTCCCTGAGTGGAGGCCACTAACAGACAGTACATAAGCAATATTCTGATATTGTAACAATTCCCTTAAATTGTAAAATTGTAAGTGCACCTTTCCAAAGTTTCTAATTTACTGAGTAGAAGTGTCTTTACTCTCTAGCACAATCTGATTTAGTAGTCCAATTGAAGGCATAGAAATAAAAATTTCTTCTTTAATTTGAAGGTGTCAGTTTTTATGTCAATGATGCCTTTTAAAAAATATTGTGCTTATAAGAATGGCTATAAATAAAAGGCAAAAGTGATAGTTGTTGGTACAGATGTGGTGAAAAGGGAACACTTTTCCACTGCTGGTGGGGATGTAAGTTAGTACAACCACTATGAAAAACAGGATGGAGATGCCTTAAAGAACTAAAAGTTGAACTATCCTTTGATCCATCAATCTCACTACTGGGGTATCTACCCCCCAAAAAAGTCATTATATAAAAAAGACACATACATATGCATGTTTATAGCAGCACAATTCACAGTTGCAAAGATGTGAAACCAACCTAAATGCTCATCAACCAACGAGTTGATAAAGAAAATTTAGTATATATACATCATGCAATGCTACTCAGCCATAGAAAGGAATGAAATAATGTCTTTTGCAGCAACAAGCATGGAGCTAGAGGCCATTATCCTAAGTGAAGTAAGTTAGGAATGGAAAACTAAATAGTGTAAGTGGGAGCTAAGCTATGAGGATGCAAAGGCATAATTATGATATAACGGACTGTGGGGACTCAGAGGGGAAAGATTGGGAGTGGGGTAAGGGATAAAAACTATCAGTTACAGTGTGCACTGCTCAGATGATGGATGCACCAAAGTCTCGGAAAGCACCACTAAAGAAGTTATCAATGCAACCAATAATCAAATAATTATTTTAATTATTAAAATTAAAATAATCTAATAATTCAAGAATTTCAGTAACTTGTGGGAATTGTTAAAAATTATTAATAATTCCCCCAAATTATTGAAATTAAAATAAATTTTAATGTTGTTCCTGAGATTATGATAAGGCATATTCTTGAATCAAGTTTGCATGTTTTGTAGGCTTCATATTATTCCTAATTTGAAATTAATTTACTTCAATTAACCAGATTCATTTTGTACGATAATAAATGCAACCTGCGATGTCTTAACACCAGACGGAGGTAACTTCCCTAAAGCCAAAATGACTTGACTTGCTCTCTTTTTTAGGTCCTGTCACAGTGCAGCCATCACCCTGTGAAGCTGATCAGTTTTCTTGTATCTACACACTCCACTGTGTCCCTCTCTCAGGGAAATGTGACAGACATGAAGACTGCATAGACGGATCTGATGAAATGGATTGTCCTCTCAGCCCCACCCCTCCACTCTGTAGTAACATGGAGTTCCTGTGCTCTACAGATGAATGTATCCCTTCCCTCCTGCTATGCGATGGGGTGCCCGACTGCCACTTTAATGAAGATGAACTCGTTTGCTGTGAGTTATTTTCACTAATTCCGTGTGCAAGGGAAGGAATGCCACTTTAAAATGAGAGAGAAAGCTGGACAGATGAAATGAAGTTTCCTAGAACCTTAATGTGATTGTATCATCAATAATGTAGCCTTTTCTGTTATGTTGCAAAACAAGGCATCTGTCCTTTGCTTAGCGTTTCTAGCAACACTGTTTGTGGTCACACTAGTTTCTGTTAAACCTGTCTGTTTCCTTTTCTATTTACATCTGAGTCATCCCTTATGTGTTTTTATCTCATTAACACGTGTTTATGGAAGTGGTTTGAAGAAATGTGGTGAGAATTTCTTCCTATCGTAAAGGTTCTTGATGATGGCTTAAGTAAAGGGCATAGTGATAGATATTCTCTTTTTGATCAGGTGACAAATATTTATTTTAAAGGGTATACAGAGTTAGGGGTTGGATCTGGATAATTACCTGAGTAAATGTCATGTGATTAAGAGTTCATGGGATAACGCATCCTAAAGACATGAGTTTGAATTTCATCCCTGTTATGTACTATGTGTGCAATGTTGGGGAAGTTGAGTGCTGCCAATTTCAGTTTTGTCATCCATGTAATGAATTCAGTGATACCTAACTTACAAGGCTGTGACGATTTGAGCAAACGCATGTAAAATCCCAAGCTCTGTATTCAGTACCTTTGATTTTTATTGTAATTAGCCACTGTCAGGTAGGGAAGGAAGCATGTTATGTAAGAAGTAATTATACACATCTTAAAGTGAGTACATAATCACGGTGGTGTCCAAACACCCTTAACATTTTATTTAGTTATTTGTTTGCTTCCTTCCTTTGTATTTTGTTATATCGTATTGTATTTCTGGATGAGGGCTTCAGTGATAGAGGTTCATAAACTATATGTTAATGATCATAATTTTTCGATTAGTAAAAAACAGTTTGAATTGTAACTATAAGAGGGGAACATTGAAAAAGGCTGAGTGCAGTGACTCAGCCCTGTTAACCCAGCACTTTGGGAGGCGGAGCGGGGGAGGATCCCTTGGGCCCAGGAGTTAAAGTCAGCCTGGGCAACATAGTGAGACCCCATCTATAGAAAAGTAGCAATAATAATAATAATAATGAGATGTGGTGGTGCATGCCTGTAGTCCCAGCTACTCTGGAGGCTGAGGTGGGAGGATTGCTTGGGCACAGGAGTTTGAGGCTGCAGTCAATGATGATCGTGCCACTATATCACTGTACTCCAGCCTGGGTGACAGAGTGAGACTCTATTAAAAAAAAAAAAGAATGAAAGGGAGACAGATAGAAGGGAGGAAGGGAGAAATGGAGGAGGGAAAGAGGGAGGGAGGGAGGGAAGAAGGGATGGAGGGAAGGAGGGAAGGAAGGAGGAAGGGATAGAGGGAGGGAAGGAAGAAGGGAGGGAAGGAAGGAAGGAAGGAGTGGAGAGGGAGGGAGGGAAGGAAGGAAGGGAGGACAGAAGGAAGGAAGGAAGGAGGAAAGGTGGGAAAGAGGAAAGGGCAGAAGAGTAGGTTATTTTAGGGTCCTGTGTAGTATGGACCTTCAGAAATCTGGAACAATTGGAAGAGGAGTAAAGGTGAATGAAAGAAAAGAGAGATGGCCTTGGGATGTTTAAAGGCTTTAGCCTTAAATCAGTGAAACTCTTTTCCTGGTTCAGGCTAATAAATTGTTTTTCCAACTCCCTGTTATTACCTACCTATATATTCTCTCTGAGATAAAGCCAACCTGTCAGGTCTTGTAATCTTTTATTGGAAGAAAGGTAAGCAAATGGAGGTGAATAGAAAAGAGAAAGTCTGCCAAATTACTTATCCCTGTTCCCATCAGGGCACTAATGTAATTTGGCTGATAGAAATCATATTAAGTTCAATATAGTCATATGATATTTGGCTTCAAATACAACTGCTATTTAAAGAGAAGCTTAGGAAAGTACTGTGTCCTTATAAATTTAGGCATTTCTTGGAAAATTGGAGTTTGACTAGTCCTACGAAGCTCTGTTCCAAAAGGGAAATAAGCCCATGGTAGGAATAGACTGGGAACAAAATGCTAGAGCAAAATTACAGAATAAAAGAATTCAGTGGTCATAATTCACCCAGCATTTGAAGACATAACAGTCTTTGGGGCTCCTACTGGTTTAGAATGATGTTTTGTAAACTCACATTCATTCATTTATTCGCAAACCTCATTAAGAGCCTAACTAAGGCCATGTAGTCATTGACGAGACAGATGGATATGACGCTGTTCGAGCTCAGGCTGAAGACGTGCTATATATTAGTGAAGGAGACTAGTCAGTGAAAGTCAGAAATACTGTATGATCAGTCCTGTGACAGAGTCAAGCACCCCATGTTAGAAGGCACATAAGGAACTCTCTAACTATGGTGCTATGGAGTCTTTACATTTTAACAGGAAGAGTGATTACACAGCCAAATTCAGAAAGACAAATAGTCATTGGACAAATAAAGCAGAGATCTGGATTCAAGTGAGGTGAAGATTGTTCCGGGAATAGAGAACAAGTTGTTAGACTGAAGCATATTTTGTGTTGCTAGAGCAGGGTCTGTGGTTGAAAATATAGAAAGAATCCCGGAGAGAGAAGCAGGACCCAGATCTTGCAGAATCATCAACACCATGCCACCATGCCAGGGCCACATAACTGCACTTAAGTTGGATATGAGATGGATTAGAGTGAAGAAGGGGGACTGGTTAGAAGATGTCACAGTTCAGATACCAAGCAATTGATTAGATACCGGTATAAGGTAAAGATTATGAATAGACTTAAGGGATGGTCAGGTGATGAGGAAGGAAAGGAATCAACAGTGATTTCCAAGACTCTGCTTTCAGGGATCACGTCTACGGTTTGCTTCTGGAGAAGTTTTTCTGCACATGTCGGGCACCAGAAGCACAAGGAGGAGGCGCAGCATTCTCTCCTGAGCATGAAGCCGGCTCTTGGTGTTGCTTGGTTCCAACCACCATTTGCCATTGATTATGTTCTTCTCTTCCTTCCAGAAAGTAAAAGGGAGAAGATGCAGTCTGAGTGGTTTTTGTTAATTAAAAAAAAAAAATAGAATGATTTCCAAGTTTCTGATTTGGGCATCAGGACAGCTTATGTGCTATTGCTTGAGCTTGGGAAAATAAGAGGAGATGGATGTGTTGGGGGAAGATGTGGCTTCGTTTTTAGATGTGTTGTATTTATGAGACATGGGAGCCATATACATGGAAATGTTTAGAATGTGTTTGGAAATGTACATATAGAGCTCAGGAGAGAGCTAAAATGCTAAAATAAGATAATATAGGGATACATGGCCATCAGCATATGATTATTCAAGCTGTGGGTATAGATGAGATAAAAGAGGAAAGAGATAAAGTGGCAGACAGAACCTAAAGGAACAGTTAAAAGACCGTTAAGAAAAAGCAGACATTGAAGACACTGAGAAGATGTGATCCTAGGCCGTGGGGTAACAAGAGACTGATGAGCTGAAAGGCAGAAATCCTTTAGTATCAAAATATTTACAGGTTGAAATGTTTCTGAGGGATCAAATAAGAGAGGGCCTAAAGAATATATAAATTGGAAAAAGCCAAAAAGGTGATTTTTGGTGATGTTAGAGAACATTTATGAAGTGGGAGGGCAGAATTCTGATGTCAATCTTTTTTAAGAGCAAATGGGAAATGTCAAAAAGGGAAATCAATTGTAGATAGCTCTTTCAAGAAGTTGTAATTGGGGTGGGATGCAGGAAAAAAGTATTGGTTTCTTTGCTTTCAGTGACTTTCCCATGTTTCTATGTTGTAGGAATAAGGATTTGGAGATGTTTACAATTTTAGACAGCGACAGACATCAATAAGAAATGATATTTATGGGCCTTTATTTTTATAAAAATAAATTTTCTAGCATTAGGACTGTTTAGATAAATCTGTGAGTTCAACATTTAAAAACACTTCATATTGAATATTGTCTTTACATTGTAAACATTATTTTTTCATTACAGTTTTTATCTGAACTGAAGCAAACGGTTTTTATCAAACATATCCCATTTCCCTAAAAAAAAAAAAAAAAAAGAAAGAAAAAAACGAAAAACTAAGCATGGTTAATTATATGGAAGGACAGCTCAAAAGTAGGAAGAGTCTTTTTACCGTATTCCTCTGATAGCTGCCTTCTATTCAGCACGAAGTTCAAAATTTTAGCAGATGTCGTATCAGTCAATATCCTGGCAAGAAACAGGTATTGATATAGTATAAATTGAAAAAATATTAATAAGAGGATTGTTTACTAGGGAATTAGTATACATAGCAAAGCCATAAGGGATAGTAAGAGTGGGGCTTTTAACACTTATAGACAAAAGAGTATGAGAAGCGGTTCAGTTCCCTGAGCCTAGAGTGGAAAAGTCTACTTGATAGGAGGTATGACGTTGAATTAAGGGAAGCAGTTAGTCCATGCTGATCTTAAAGAGTCTCTTTGCTCTGTATTACTCTAATGCTGGTGTTACTCATTGGCCAAATCCAATCATACACCTGAAGTTTAAAAGGCTTATTAATGTATTCTTATAGTCCAGTCTTACAGATGAGGAGAGAAGGTGGAGAATAGATCAGGAGGAGTGCATGGAAACTATGCATCAGTGACAGATACAACTGTGAAAAACAAATAGGGAAGTGGGTAGTTTACCTCCTTTCCAATGGTAGTGGATGTGTCCTGTGAGGTTTCAGGCCACTTCTGGTGGTTTAGAATGTGTCACCTTCCTAAGACTTGTAGATCAAACTTCATCATTGATATTTTTGCTATTAGTCTTTAAATGTGTTAGCTATGATCTCAACATCCTATTGTGCCTTTGAACAACCATGTAAAGATTATTCCTCTGCATTTACCAGATCCCACTTTTTTACAATAGTGATCCTCAGTTTTTTCAACATTGAAAATCATGATAATTAATCTGTTTTAGAGAAGCATGTTAGAGGAGCAAATGAAATTAATATGGTAAGGTGCATAACACACACACAATAAATTATTATTCTTT